TAATAGTTTCTTTAACCTACCTTAGGAATATGGCATATAATACATAGAATGTATAAAATATGTGTTAATCAACTATTTATGGTATTGGTAAGGTTTTTGCTCAACAGTAGACTATCAGTAGTTAAGTTGTGGGGGAGTCAGAAGATGTGCACAGATTTTCAACTGTGTAGGGGGTGTGGGTGCCCCTAACCCCCAAGTTGTGCAAAGGTCAATTGTACTGTCAAGTCATCTTGACTCTTGCATGAAATCAATGGACATTCTCCCCCTTAGTTATTTTAAAAATTTAACTTCACTTGTTAGGTTAGCAGTTCTCTTTTATTTTAATTTTATTTTATTTTATTTTTTTTAATAAATTAATTTTTATTGATGCTCAATTTACCAACATACAGAATAACACCCAGTGCTCATCCCGTCAAGTGTCCCCCTCCGTGCCCGTCACCCATTCACCCCCACCCCCCGCCCTCCTCCCCTTCCACTACCCCTAGTTCATTTCCCAGAGTTAGAAGTCTTTATGTTCTGTCTCTCTTTCTGATATCTCCCACACATTTCTTCTCCCTTCCCTTATATTCCCCTTCACTATTATTCATATTCCCCAAATGAATGAGAACATACACTGTTTGTCCTTCTCCGATTGACTTACTTCACTCAAACTCTGTCCCACATGATGTTATTTGAAAAAAGTATACCTAGAAAAATGAAGGTTTTGGAAACCTTAGGTTAAACAAAGAAAGGTAAAAGTAGTTTCTTTTGTGAGGACTTCCAAGAGTCTCAATTACTCGCCATGGAATGCTGATTCCCAAATCGATCTGACCGCTGAAAAGCATTCTAAGAAATACACTTTGGAAATGCTATTTTGGATTCTTCAACATTAAGCCTTGTGATTATTTTATTTTATAGTTTGCAGAAAGTCTGCCTAATTAAAAAGAAGAAGAAGAAGAAGAAGAAGAAGAAGAAGAAGAAGAAAAGAAAGAAAGAAAGAAAGAAAGAAAGAAAGAAAGAAAGAAAGAAAAAACACAAAGCTCTTAATTTGCCCTTTTATCGTATTTTCCAGCTAGGAGATTTGTGTTGCCTTGGCCCAACTGTGCTTCTCATCCAGCTGAATAAGACAGAGGGAAATTAAGGCTACGGGTACAAGGACAGCGGACCTACTTAATGAGGAAGCGAACAGAAAGATAAGCCATCGTGACACAGGACAGTGAGGGGACCAAGCAGCCAAGTGGGGCACGAAACTGACAGAATTGAAACTAGTTGGAAATGCCGGCAGTCAACACAGACTCTTCTAGAAACAAAGTCCAGGCAAGATGAGTAGATGAGGCAGGATTCAGGCTTGGTCAAATAGGGTTGGAATTGCAGAAAATGTAGTCTCTTGGAAGGCTTGGGTCTCAGTACCCCTAGGGACTTAGTACCCTAGGGAGGAACTGAGTCTCAGCACTGCCCAGCCCCTGAGACAAATGCCTCTTCATTTGCCACCCCTGGTGTCTCAGATCACCAGGCAAACTCCTTTCGGCTTTAAAAGCCAAGGCAAACTGCACGAGAGGGCAACCTCTAATGCTTTAGGTGGATTTGGGACTCTGAGAGCGTCACCTGTGGGAGGAATAAGGGCTGATTCCTGGAGTCCTTGAGCTTCATCTTTTTCTGCCTAGGAAGTCTGCTGTTACCAGAGTCGCGACAAAAAGCCCCCATTAGAGCTTATCCACGACAATTAGGCTCCAAGCCTTGTGTGTTTCAGACTTTAAACCAATTCCAGCAATCAGGCATGCTCTGCATGATACCATGTTTGGCGCTGAGCTACTGAAAACCTGGAAACGAGTGGCTTACACACAGAAAGGGCTCCTTTGCCTGATGTACCCGATGGTACAGAGACAGGTAGTCCCAGGGCTGCAAAAGCCGGAGCTCTGCAAGGTCATCAAGGACTCGGTTTTTTCTTCTCTGCCTTCTTCAGTGTGTGGCCTTTGCATTCATGTTTGCAAGATGCTGCTCCTCCAGGCGTCACACCTGTACTCCACGCAAGAAGAAAGGGAAAGATCCAGAAGCCTTTCCCATAAGGCTTTGTCCTCTGTTGAGAAAGAGTGTGCTTTCTCCAGGTAAATCTGCCTCCAGTATCTTACTGGCCAGAACTGGGTAACACAGCTTTCCCCAGCTGCACATTCCTTGGAGAAGTGAAGATATTTATATAGTAAACGGAGAACCGTGATCGTCAGCTCCAACACAGCTGGAGTCCCATTTCTGGTCGGGGGAAGGGGAGACTAGGTAGTGGCGAGTGCTGAGCAGCTTCTGCCTGTTGTACAGAAATCTGACGAGACACAGAGAAGCATTTCTCCATTCTGCTCATCCATGGACTTATCTAGCCCTCCTCCCTCTTTCTCCTGATCGATACCTTATTTGAAAATAAAGAGGCTCTTGGCCTTACCTTGGTAGTTAGGTAAAGCAACGTCTAAGCTATATTCCTGAACTCTGGGGCTTCCTGAGGCAAATAACCCCCGAAACCATGCCACCCTCCTTGGGGACACTTAGTATCCCTAAGAAAGAACATTTACGAGAAAGAAAAAAAATGCAAATAAGTTTTGAGGGCAGAAATTGAAAATAAGGTCTTGTGACAGACTGTGGGCCTTCTATTTGGGTCACAAAGCAGGCCCTTCCTGTCCTCCCGAAGCCCCAGCCTTCAGCCATCAGTGCCCTGTGACCCAGTGCGTGCCCCGGGGGCAGCAGGCTCCCGGGCCTAGGGCCATGGCTCTTGGCCAACGGCTCCGGGCACGGATTGCGGGGCCCGGTTCCCTTCGTCATGGTCATGATCACCATCATGTGTTTCTGAGTGTCCCCGGGGGGCCTGGCACTGGCCAGTGCTTAATGTGTGCTGGGGGCTTCGCTCCCATCCAGCTTCTGTCTGATGACCAGTGGTAGCGGCCACTGCCATCAGCCCCCCAGAGCTAGAGCTTTCTGAGCTGTGCATGTTCCCCGAAGGCACCTGATGGGAAAGGGACCCCACCACTCCTTAGCTCCGTTGCTGCATCATGAACCGATTTGCCCCACATGCTCATTGGTGGGGTCCCATTTCCTTGATCATGGAACCCTGTGAGGACATCGCTGAGTTCAAGGTTTGCCGGAAACTTCAGGACTTGCAGGAAAAAGACAGGGCTAAGACTTAGCAGTTCTGGGGGCGGCAGGAGGGGCAATCTAGTGCCTTCCTAGGGCAGCCCGCTGAAGGAATGATGAGTGCACAGATGTCATATGGGAAGCAGAGATGGTGAAAAAGTTTAGATTTAGTTGTCCAAAGTCCTATACGCTGGTAAAAGAGCAAAACTGAACATCGACGGGGGGTTCTTACTTAGCTATCTTTCAACTATGGTCTATTGTCCTTTAAGAAGTGTCATGACACTTCACTGAGAGGTCACAAAACCCAACGCGCATTGGTGACTTCAGTTTAACCTAAAGGACCGCACCTGCCAGTGACATGCGTGGCTGCCATGCACGAGCAAGAACAGACGCTTTCCCAAGGTCAGAGATGCTACTTATAAAGCATCAGGATGTGGGCACCTGGTGGCTCAGCGGTTGAGTGTCTGCCTTCGGCTCAGGGCGCGATCCCGGGGTCCTAGGATCGAATCCCGCATCGGGCTCCCTGCATGGAGCCTGCTTGTGTCTCTGCCTCTCTCTCTGTGTCTCTCATGAAAAGATAAATAAAATCTTAAAAAAGGAAAAAGAAAAGCGTCAGGATTTGGGATGAAGGTATATTATTTCCTTCCAGGTGTATCGTATACTATGTTCTTTAGTGGAACTAAAATTGCACTCTATTCCGGTTTAATGTGGTTTATTTCCTCATACATATTTACATCTGTATTCTGCTTGCTTCCTCTACAAGCAAGTTCTCCATCATAACAATAGATCTTCTAATGGTCTATCGTTGCTCATAATGCTTCTTTTTTTTTCTAGTAGCAATTTCCACTGTGACGCGCTATTTGACGTGTGCTTTTTTTTCTGTTGTTCAAGGGCTTTTGAGATTTCCATACTCCTTCACATCAGCCTCATCGTCTGGCATTATTTCTGGAGGACCACGGGCTGCCCATTTATTTCCCAAGTATGTTTCAGAATCCTTCATCTCCCCTTGGTATTTCATGATTGCAGATGGCTTTTCTCTAGCGTGTTTGTTTTTCTCAAAGTCTATACTTGTTCAAGCTTGATGCTCCAGCTCGACTCAATAATGATTCCGTAAGAACCTGAACGTTTGCAGATTGTGACCGCTACTGAGTCTAATTGTGCCTTCTGGTTCACAGGTGCCATGGCTTTCTTTACTTCTAATAATCTGTAATGATTTTAAACTTCCTTGTAACTTCAAGGCATCTTGAAGATCTTTTCTGCATGTGTCCTTCCTTACAGAATTTAGTTTTAGGGGTGCTCTTCCTTCTAACTGTTCTTAGCAATGGAAAGGACTTCTATTAAACACTAAAGATTACTCCTCTCCAGTTTCTTATCTGACACACTCTGGCTTTTAACCCACATTTCCCACTTGGCAACTTGAGATACACAACATGTTCATAGCTTTGCAAAGCATTTTCCAATAGTCTCCTACTGTCTTGATATTCAGGCACTGATGACAAGGACAATTATTTAATAATGCACTATTTTGCCACCCATCCTTTCCTACAATTACACGGTTAGTAGGAAAAAAAATGATCAGCTATGTAATATAACCGAACAGAGACTAAAATAAAAATCTAAAAGCAGATCTAACTGTACTTTTGAAATAAATGGACCATGTGGAGGAAAAGAGGCTTGCATGAGAAAAAAAAAAAAGAAAACAAGAGTAAATGTAAAGGAAAAGTAAAATAGCAACAGCTGTCTGTAACATACATGGAAATTAAACTTCATGTTCTTTGCATATTTTAAAATCATATGATCAAGAAACAATTTTTACCCATTTGAAAGAAAACCAGCATGCATTAGAATTATCCACAAGAAGAACTGAGTATATCCTGAACAAGGTAGCCTGAGATGTTGCAACTCACCCATGTCAAAATGATAGGTCAGAGAAGGATCCAGAAGAGCACACCTGACTTGGATGCAGGAGGCAGTGCTGGAGACCCAGGCTGGGTGAAGAAACCTGTTGATATCAATAAAGGACAAGAAAGAAGGGACTTAAGTTGGATATATATATATATATATATATATATATATATATATGTCTGATGACCATGGGTTTTTAAGATATTTTGTGGTAAAGTAGGACTGTTCCATTTACCATGGATTCTGGTCACGGGAATGCAATTAATAAAGCATGTCATTGGAAATTACATTATATCACATGCTTTATTATCACTCAACACATATGTAATTCATATACTGATGGAGGGTTGCAGAGAAGATAGTCTATGAATCAAAACAGGCAGGAAAAGCTGGGGTGCCTGGGTGGCTCAGTCAATTTAAGCAGCAATTCTTGATTTTGGCTCAGATTGTGATCTCAAGGTTGTGAGATCAAGCCCAGTGTCAGGCTCCACACTCATTGGGGAGTCCACTTGAGAGCCTCTCCTTCTCCCTCTGCCCCTTCCCACCACCCACTGTGGCATGTGCGCACTCATGCACGTGCACTCTCATAAATAAATAAATAAATAAATAAATAAATAAATAAATAAATCTTAACAACAACAACAACAGGCAAGTAAAGACAATCCATTATTTCACAATTTTGGAAATTCTTGCACTGACATTAGGAAGGTTTATTTCTCTATTTTACATCAATTTATTTTGTGATTTAAGCTTATTTATTTTTGCATTATTTTTTCCATAAATATAAACACATTTACTTCCCCTCATTCTACTACCTTTAAACACTTAGCAGCAATTACATTTCCCTTTCCCTTCACATTTTGATTCTTTGAGCCTCCTTTTAATATCTCCTAAATAATAAAGCCTCCCAGCTAGTTGTTCACAGCTCACCTACTCATGAAGAGCTATTTCTCAGGTCTGGAAGAAAATATGGTAGGATGGGTTCACTCACACAGCCTGAGAGCTTCCTTTGGACAGCATAGCAGTTAGGGAAAGCCAGGACTCTCCCTCTCTGGGGATCCCAAACCCTGCCCACACAGAATGGTACAGACTTGAGGATTAGGCACCCAAAAGTTGGTTGTGTCACGGAGTCAGGAAAAGAGAAGGGAAATGTGAGAGTCTAAGAAAGGCTCTGGTGGCGATGAGGACAATGAACAATGAGTGGCTAATGTGAACGTACCGAGAATCTCTAGAGGTGATGTGTGGCAGAGGATACGAAGATCTTGGTCAACAACAACAAAAGGGTCTTAGAAAGACAGTTCATAAAGAAAAAATTTTTTATACCCTGAAATTTTTACCTAAAGCTTTTGGAGGCAATTGAAATGGGACTGGAAATTACCATCTAAGGTAAAAATATTTAGCACACAACCTTGGAAGAGAAATTGTATGAAATAAACATTTATTGACATTCAAATGGATCTTTCTCTGTAAGGTTCAGATAGTAAATATTTTAGATTTTGCAGGACATGAAGCAAAATTGAGGACAGTACATAGGTATATTTATATGATGAGAGAAAACAAATGTCCACCAATTCTTGTATTGATAAAACTCAAAATGTAATAATGATAATTAAGTTTGTTTTTTAAAAATATAGGTCTACTAATGAGAAGAATGGAATCCTCTTTTGGGGGAGATAACATTTTGCTTAATTGAGGTTCAAACTTAGTTTTTGCTATCATCAAAATCAATTGCAGATTCATCCTTAAACTTGATCCATAATTAAACTTGAAGTATTTCATCTTTGAAGCTATCTTTTCACACAGATAGGTATTGCCAAACACCAGTGTCAATTTAGGAGCATATGATTTTAATTGAGCATATTTATCAGCTGGGAGGCATATAGAATTCTATTATATTTTCCTCTTGATATTTGATTTTAGCATGTCATTATATGGCATATTAGTAACTTCCAAGGGAAGATGAGGTGGAAGCTCCTCAATTGCACAGTTAATTGAATTTTGAAATATGAAGAGTTTTTTTGCCCCTTGCATTTTGATTAAGGTCTGAAAAGCGTTGCTGGAAATAACATGGTTCGAACTTGGAAAATAGAGCTACTACAAATTTGTGTGAGAATGGAGATCTTGTTTTTTTTTTTTTTAACTTTAAATAGTACATGACATGTATAAAGGAACTTTACACTACTTTGTTTCAAACAACATTAGTTGTCATAGAAATGCCTTTACCATAGTATAAGTTTTGCACATAAGCCCTCTTTTACCTTGTAATTTTGTGTTGAATTCATTAAGAAACGTTATTAAGTCGGCACTAAAAGCTAATTTCCAACTAGCGTTTGAGAGCAGTTAAGGGTAGTACTTCCAACCACTTGAAAATATAAAAGCCATTCTCAGCTTGTGGGCTGTACAGAAACAGGCAGTTGATGGGATTTGGTCTCTGGGCCTTCGTTCGCAACCTCTGAATTATACCGACAGACCCTCTGGAGTCCGACTCCCTAGGTTTGAAATCTGGCCATACTCACCAAGGAGCCTCGTGACTTCAGGCTAATTATTTAATGTCTCTAAAGCCTCTAGGAGAGGAGAAAAATTCTCCCCTTCCTAGAGTTGAAAGGATTCAATGAAGGGAGCGCATGGGATAATATAAATACAATTAATAGTTTTCGATAGTAAAATAAAAACCCACCATAATGCTGCAAATAGATTTTAAAAAATTCAACCATGTAAAATGAGGGGGGCAGAGTGAGGGGCAAGGAATGGAGTAGTTCTTGTCTTGGTAAAGCTAATGAGATGAACTCGGGTCAGCCCCCCGAGGAGGATGTGTACCAATCACTCACCACCTTTCATCTGCATTCGAGTTGCTGAGGGACTTTGCTGTCCTACCTAGACATGCCCAACAAATCCAGCTTCACCAGTTCTGTGTGGTTCCCCAGCTCATCCCATTCTGCCTTTTTCCAGAAGAGAACAGAGCATGATTCATGGGTTTTGCTTCTTTTCAGACCTGGAATCTGCCTTTAACGGTATTGAAAGTCCTTATATATGGCCTGATTGTGGGCCTGTCTCCTTCCACACTGGATGATCCTAAAAAGTTAGAGGTGTGCCTTCTTTATTTCTGTACGTATGGAGATGACTACTGAGTAGTTCTTCGGAAAAAAGTGCTGAATCACTCAGCAAATGAACGAAGGAAGATTGTTATGAAAACAAAGTAGTGTTTCATTGTTATTCCTCATGAACGACAACACTCTTCAGTCATTTCTTTCATTGTGTTTGCTATTATTATATTCTTTTCTATATTATGATACTTATTTATAAACTAAAGGACAATCTTTTGGAGAAAGAGCACATAGATTAACATGTGTTCATGTTCAGATCCCAAATTTGCCATGCAAAAGCTATGTGAACTTACACAAAAATTTCACTTCTCTGTTCTTTCCTGATCTAGAAGCTATCTTTAAGGTCAAATTTGATTCTGGGACGCTCGGGTGCCTCAGGGGTTGAGCGCCTGCCTTCAGCTCAGGCCGTGAATCTCGAGGGCCTGGGATCGAGTCCCACATCAGGCTCCCTGCGTGGAGCCTGCTTCTCCCTCTGCCTGTGTCTCTGCCTCTCTCTGTATCTCTCATGAATAAATAAATAATATCTTTAAAATGAAAAAAAGATCAAATTTAATTCTGAAATTTTATAGCAGTTTTTACAACCTAAAGTTTAGGGTTGATTTTAGATTCTGTATTATACACCTATTTAAAAAAAATAATTTCTGAGATTTAAATGAGGACTTAAAAATGTCTCGACTCCACACTGCCTAGGAGTTGAATAGCACCCTTTTATTTTTGGTAGAAATACTTAGAAAAAAACATATATGGTATATGATTATTACATTTTGTTAAATCTCCCTGAGGAATTTTTTTTAATATACCCTAACAGCAGTCTCCCTTGATGTATAGCTGAAATTCTTCATCTGGCTTTAAATCATATTCAAACATCACTGCCAATAAGACCAGCGTCTTAGCTGTGGCTTTCCACTGATGTCAGCAACCCAAACTGAAAAGGACTCCTCAGACCTGGGGGGAGGAACCAAGCTAACTTCTCTCCCTAGAGATGTGCTTTATCTGAGGGACCTCAGATATTAAAGAAAAACTCTCATCTGGTGTGTATATGAGCTTTTTGCTTCATCAGCTCAATGTTGAGTACTGGTTTTTGATATTTATTACTGGAAACAGAATCAGTCATTGCTATACAACTGCGACAGCACACATCTTTCTTCTTACGACAGTAAGGAGCATGCTTTAGGTTTCCAGGCGCTTCTGCTTTCCCAAGGCAGGACCATGGCTCCCTGGCTCCTTCCTGCAGTGTTCCCAGCCCCTAGCTCAAAGCCTGACACATAACACGTGACTCCAACAAATATGCACCACATGAGAGCATGGATGAAAGCAGTATCACGTTTGATGCTCATGGCATTATCCCCATTAGACAGATGAGGAAAGGATCAGACAGGTTAATTAAGGAATATTCGACAAGGTCATGGGGATGATAAAGTGGCAGTGCTGAGACTGAGTCCTCTCTTCAGGCTGGAGAGCCATGATCTTTTCAATTCCTGCAGGCTGCTTCTACCTGGGCATCATTAAAGCTGGGCAGGGTTTTAGAGCTGACCTACCAAGTCACGGGACTTGCAGAAGATTGCATTAGGAATACCTCATACACTGTCTCTAGCAGTTTTAAGATGTTGAGACTCGCAAAACTGCCATGAACCTCCTCAGCACAAAAGCACCAGGAAGGCCAATTGAGAAACTTGCCACAAACTTTTAATGTGTGTCTGTAGAGGATTAGGGTGCCCGTAAACATTCTGGGGCACCCCCACCCCGGGAGTTTTGGCAGGATCCGATTTCCCACAACTGTTCAGAAGTTCCATGAAGTTAGGAACATTTCTGTGCTGCTTAGGCAAGTGTGTTATCTGCAGGCTCGAATTTCTAAGGTCCAAGGAAAGGAAATGGTGATGGAAACTTTCTCTGGGGGCTTTGTCTGGTAGAACGCAAGCTCACTCATCCCAAACAAACCATTTCGAAGAGAGCAACAATTTTGTTGACTGCATTTAAAGATAGAACACGCAGT